AAAAAAGAAAAGAAAGAAAACTTTTGCTGAACTAAACTTTTTGAAGGTAACTCCAAGCAAACCCGCCAAATGTTTTCTTCGCCCGCTCACAGAATACAATGTTCAGATGTTTCACGTGTTCGAAGCAAATAAATTTCAAAGTTGATTTCAAAGTTTAGAAAATGAAAAGGCAAAGAACATCGGTAAGGAATAACAAGAAACTCAAAACGCAACACGTCACCTTCATTAAAATTATATTCAATTCTTTCCATAAAGGAAACCTTACCGGATGCCCATGGGACGTCCTCGTAATTTTCACTGTTTGGGTGATGACAGAACCGCCCATTGGCTCCAATGTTGTAGAAGAAGGTGTTTGCAATTCGATTGTGAATGCCTACAAAAATTCTCTTGGTATATCATTTAAAGAGTGAGACAGAGTTATAAAAAAAATTCTTCTAACAGATCTCTCAGAAACCTGATTTGGTTTCTTATTGAGCTCGTAAGGGAATCTGGTATAAGCTGAACGAAGTATTAAACAAGAATTAGAAATCCATAGCAAACCTTAGTGACAGCCGCTTGAAAAGCGAAGTCTTGCACTTGCACAGGTGTATTGTTCGTGATCTCGACCTGCATTTGGACAGTGTCTCCAGACCATCCTCCTCCCAAAACCATAATATGGGCTTCGATACCACTACTGTTTAAGGCAACGACGCGTTCAGCAACAGGAGCCCTTTAAGGCGACTCGTTAGAACATTGGACAATGGCTTGGTTAGTTGAAAATGATGGAACACGAACATACAAACAAGAAAGTGCAAAATACAGCTTACGCACATAGTAGCAACTGGAGCAGCAGCAGCTGTACTGCCAAAACCAGCAAGCAAGTCAAATGGATCAGCAACCGGGGCTGTAGCTGCTGGTGGAATGGGATTCGAAACAGACATCGAAGAAAGTGCTTAAAGATAACTCTAGAACAGATACATATCTAAGGAAAAACATTGTGGTCAGACCTCCTATCAAGTTTCCGTCAACGATGGAGTTTGTGGCAGATATTGTTGGAGCAGTGGTTCCACCCATGAGATCGAATAGGTCGTTATTTGTGCTCTAAATTAAACACTTTGAACGATTAAAAAAACTTTATAGCTTAACGTTTCGACAAGACACCTGGATGAAAGAACGCGCAAAAAGGACAAATTCTATTTCTTCCATACTTACAAATGATATAAATGCTAGACTTTTTTCTAGCATTTATGAACATTTGCATACTAAATAGTCCAATCACCAAAAATTATGAAAATCATATAATTTGCCACAATTTTTGAAAATCTGCAACCTCAAACGGATAAGCTCCTTAGTAGGCTGGTGGTTTAAACTTTAACCAGTTCTGAGCACCTCTTTATTCAAAAATTGGGGTAACAGGTGAGTACGAATATATTAATCAAACCATATGAAAATGCATAGCAAAAACAACAATGAAAAGGATTGACAAGAAAGAACTCACAGTCTTTACAGGAGTGGGTACTGGCTCCCCAAGTCCAGCCAACTGATCAAGCAAGTCAACATTCGAGGTTGGTACAGCAGCGGCAGGAGCTGGCTGGGCATCTTCAATAAGACTAGGTCCGTCTTCTATTGGCGCTGCTGCGGCATTTAACGAGTTGTGGGTGATCACAGGCATTCGCTCAAGAAGTCCATACCTGGAACAAGTGAAAATGTGAAACTACGCCATAGATTATCATACACAATGACTGAGTGTCTACAAAGACTCACTTCAGATCACCACAATCCAAAAGTCGTGAGAACTCCACTGATCGTTGTTGCAGTTCTAAATGAAGATGAGCCTGATTGGCTCTAACTAGCGCAAGAATACGGTCAACAGTTGTTGTGAATCTAGAGTTGGTGAGTTATAAAAGCAATGCAGTGAGTGATCGCTTACTTGAGCGACTCA